GTTGGCCTCCCTGCCTTACCTTTGGGTTTGGGTAGGATGCGGCCTCCATGGGCAGAGCTGTGGTTATTGTGTCCCTGGGGATGTGTGGAAGCAGGATCCCAGGCTGATGTTGGCTGGGGCTGGGTCCCCATGTGGTGCCCAGTGTGGGTTCATCCCTGGGCTCTGCAGGGACACTGTCTGTGCCCTGTGTGCAGCCCCCTGCCCCCGCTGTCCCCGCAGGCAGCAGGACCTGTTCCGGGTGCTGAAGGCATACACCCTGTACCGCCCCGAGGAGGGCTACTGCCAGGCCCAGGCCCCCGTTGCCGCCGTCCTGCTCATGCACATGCCGGCCGAGGTATGAGCTGGGGCCCGCAGGGTGTGGGTCACCTCAGGGTGGTGCTGGGGGTGCCCCTCGCCCTGGCTGTGCTCTGCCTCCTCCTGCTGCTCCCCAGGAGCTGCTCCCTGGGCACTCACACGCTGTCTCTTGGCTTGCAGCAAGCATTCTGGTGCCTGGTGCAGATCTGCGAGAAGTATCTCCCCGGCTACTACAGCGAGAAGCTGGTGAGTGAAGGGCCCGTGGTGCCTCGGGAGGGCAGGGACCTGCGGTGGCTCCCTCAGCTCCTCACCCCGGAGGAAGAAGGGAGCTTGGGGAATCCTGGGTGCTCCCACAGTTTCTCTGTTACACCATGGCCCTCAGGAGCACCCCCAGTCAGGAAAGGGGGGCTCATGCGCCCAGCATCCATGGGGCGCAGCTCTGCTCCTAGAGCCAGGTCTGAAGGGTGGCTGCTCCTCCGGTGGGGCTGGGTGCTGGATGTTAATCCCAGGGCTGTGCTGGGGTTAAGGTGCTCAGCAAGGCTCTGGACACTGTCCCTGCAGGAGGCCATTCAGCTGGATGGGCAGATCCTCTTCTCGCTGCTGCACAAGGTCTCTCCTGTGGCCTACAAGCACCTGAGCAAGCAGAAGATCGATCCCATCCTCTACATGACGGAGTGGTTCATGTGCGCCTTCTCCCGCACGCTGCCCTGGAGCTCTGTCCTGCGTGTCTGGGACATGTTCTTCTGTGAAGGTAGAAGCTCCTCAGCCCACCACCCTCCTCTTCCTCCCCAGTGAGCGCCTGCAGCCCCTGGGACACGTGGACAGCACTCAGGGCTGCAGCAGGAGCTCTGCAGCTGCTGTCTACCTGTGCCTGGCACATGGGACCTGTTGTAGGGCAGATTTGGGCAGCCACATGCCTGGGGTGAAGTCTGGGTTGTGTTCTTGGGGATATGGGGACACGTGTGCCCCAAATCCACCCTCTTGCATGTCCTGACCGCTGGCAGGGCCGGGACCTGGTGTCCCACAGCACCTGAGGGACACAGTGGCAGCGTCACCCTGTTTGCTTGGCACCTCTTGCCTCACCTCTACCATTGCAGGGGTGAAAATCATCTTCCGGGTGGGCCTCGTGCTGCTCAAACACACGCTGGGCTCCTCGGACAAGCTCAAGTCCTGCCAAGGCCAGTATGAGACCATGGAGAGGCTGAGGGCCCTCAGCCCCAAGATCATGCAGGAGACCTTCCTGGTGCAGGAGGTGAGGTGCTGGGGGAGCTCTGGGGGCCCAGTGCTGCCCAGCTACTGGGGTGGGCAGAGCCGGTGCTGCATGGGGGGCAGCCCCCAAAAAGCTTGGATTTCAGGTTGCCTCTA